AATTTCAGTGTGTGTGAGTTATGCCATGTATGTTGATTCCCACCGAGACCAAAAGAGGGTATCAGATTCTCTGGAGCTGGAGTTAAAGGTATTTGTTAGGCCCCTGACAAGGTTGCTGCAATACAAGCTCCAGTTCAGTCTTCACAATTAAACAGCAAGCGTTACTAACCACTGACCATCTCTCCAGGCCCTGACTATTATCCCCTAAGCCAGACAATCCTCTGGAAGACTCTAAGGAGGAGCATGCTTTGAGAGAACAGCCTTCCAAGAATGCTGGTCTGACTATGGATTGCGAGCGCTAGGGTGAGAGGTGAGAGTGGAGGGGTACAGGGTGGAAGGGTGGTGTTGCTCCTCTCTAATTAAGAGCTTGAGCTGCAGCAAACCCCGCAGCTTGAGAATAGCTCTACCATAATGTGGGCTACTATTGCTGTGATGAAACACCATGACCACAGAGCAGGATGACAGGGAAGGGTTTATTCGGCTTCCACATCACAACTCATCATCAAAGGAAGTCAGGACAGGAACTCTAACAGGGGACGAACCCAGAGACAGGAGCTGATGCAGAGACCATGGAGGAGTATTGCTTTCTAGCTTGCTCCTCATGGCTTGCTCACCCTTCTTAATAGAACCCAGGACCACTAGCCCAGGGGTAGCACCATCCATAATAGGCTAGGTCCTCCCCTATCAATCACTGATTAAGAAAATGCCCTACAGACTTGTTTACAGCCCAATCTAATGGGGCACTTTCTTAACTAAGGCACCCTCCTCTCTAATGATTCTAGCTTGTGTCAAGTTGACAGAAAATTAGCCAGTAGAACCTCCAATAGAAAGCCTAGAGAAAAAGAAGGCCCAGAGGAGAATATATTTTTGTGACTAGACCTGAAGAGCAGGAAAACTGAGGCATTGGTTTCCGTCTGGGGTAGTCTGCTCAGAGGCTATCTCTAGACGTCAGCTTGTGGTTCTCAGTTCACCTGTTTAAGTGCGCATGACTGGTTTCAGGGTGAAAGGAGATGTACAGAGAAGTGGTACAAAAAACACTTTTCAGGGGCTGGAGAGATGGCTCAGAGGTTAAGAGCGCTGGCTGTTCTTCTAGAGGTCCTGAGTTCAAGTCCCAACAACTACATGGTGGCTCACAACCATCTGTAATGAGATCTGCTGCCCTCTTCTGGCCTGCAGATGTACATGCAGGCAGAATACTGTATAATAAATAAATTTTTTAAAAAAGCACTTTTGAAAGCTAGCACCGACTAGTTTCAGTTGTACCAGGGTTTATAGACATAGCAATGACTTGAGAGTGTAAAAATAAGAAAACTGCAGTTGGGGGATCCCTAAGATTATCCTGAGAAATAAATGCCTTAGTTGTTCTTAGCTGAAGATCACCTGTGCTCAGTGTCCATGTTGATGGGACTCTCAGACTCTTCATGTGTGTGCTAAGTCCTATCTAGCACCAAACAGTACAAGGCCCAGGGCCCAGAGGCTATGGTGACGCTAGACAAAATTCTGAGCCCAAGAAGAAACAGATCGGTGGGTAGCTGTGGGAGGCCCCTTAGGAGAGCTTTGTCACAAAGCATGTACGCTCCAGGTCCTAACATGTTGATAAGAATATTTGGCCAACACACCTTTAATTCCCACTCTGGGAGGCAGAGGCAGGCAGATCTCTGTGAGTGTGAGGCCAGCCTGGTCTACAGAGTGAGTTCTGGGACAGGCTCCAAAGCTACAGAGAAACCCTGTCTCAAATAAACAAAACATAACAACATCCGAACAAAAGAAAAAGGGTACTGGGAAGCTAAGCGAACATACTTAAATTTATGTTGTAAAGAACAGAAATTAGGGGTTGGGGAGACAGCTCTGTCAGTAAAGTGTTTGCTGTGCAGGCCTGAGGACCTAAACTCAATCCTGAGCACCCACAGAAAAAAAGCCAGGCATGGCAGTGCCCACTGGTAATTCTAGCTCTGGAGAAGTGGGGATATGGAGTCTTTTGTGGCTCACTGGCAAGCCAGCCTAACCTAATCAGGGAGCTCAAAGATAAGCGAGACCTTGACTTTAAAAAGGTAGACTTCTGGAAGTAGCTCGGTGCTGGAACACCTGACTAGCATCCTTGAGGTCCTAGGTTTAATCCCCAGCACTAGGGGGATGGCAGAGTCAGTTGATAGCTCCTGAGGAACAACACCTGGGTTGATTTCCAGATGCTTCCTTTCCCACGTGTGTACGTGCACGTATGTGCGCTCACACAGAGAGAGAGAGAGAGAGAGAGAGAGAGAGAGAGAGAGAGAGAGAGAGAGAGAGAGAGAGAGAGA